TCCTGATACTGAGGACAATGATTTTTTTTCAGTGGGATTAGATTTGTAAGTTAAAATTTTAATCTTATATAAAAATTATATTCATATTTAATTTACATTTATATTTTTAACACCTTCCAAAATTAAAATGAGCGTAGAACAAAAGCTTGGAACCCAAGATGATAAAACTAGTAGGGCCACTATTTTTCTAGGGGTGGGAGCATTGCCCCTCCTGGCCACCCTCGCTCGCAGCGCCCCTGCTGATTGACAGGTTTTGTTCTACTGAGGAATGACAGCTTGAGCCGCAGCACCGCACATCTCTCTGATTCCAGAGATTGTGTGGTTCTAGGAGAGACAAGATTTGTATCTGATTTGTGTTCAAAGCGCCACAGAGATGATTTTTTTCCCATCACCCTGTCCACCCGCGACCACGCGAGCAGATCTGCTGACTGCTATGCAGTAAAGAACATGTTGGCGAACCGGCGAAATCCTCGGTAGGCTAATCTACCCCTGAAGAAAGTAGTGCAAGTTTTGACGGCCAGTACAATAGCAGCTCGTGAGCATAAAATTTGGTGGGGCGGACAGAGGTTGTGCTTGATTTTTTTTGCTGTCCGTCATTTTGACTGACAGGGTTAAAAAAAAATCTGTCATGATAAATGTTTACCCGTCACTTTCTTTTTAAAATAATGACTAAACATTCAATAGAACGTGCTGTCATGTTGTTTTACAGTCTCATGATGCAGCGCCTGCAGGATTTTATCAGAGAAAAACTCATCAGCGCACCTCACACAAATACAAGCCTTGAGCGCAATGTGCATGGTACTGAAAAACAGCACATCTGTCCCACATCAGGCCCAATGCGCACAATGTGACGCACACAAACGGTCCCATTTTTGACTCACAAAAAGTAAAAGTAGTTGGAAAAACACAACAAAACAACAAATCACAAACTGAGCTTATTAGGAGGAACTATTTTGTGAGGCGAATTAATTTTGCCATTATGAATCAGCCGCACCTGTTGGTTCATGAAAGCCTCGAGCTCCGAGGGACGAGGAGCTGACAGGGACAGTTCAGAAACAATTTGGGATGAGAAAAAAAAACTATTTATAAACAGATTAATTGTGTTTTATACTGCCTACTGCTAACAGGCCTATTCTGACAGAAAGTGCAGCTGTGATCTGGTTCTGAATGACAGCTTTATAGTTGACAGCTGCTCCCCCATCTTCCCGGTACTGCGTACCGGCACAGAATCTTTTAGTGGTGCGCAGTACTGGACCGGCTTACTTTCACCCCTGCTTCTTTATACAAAAATGAATGGGCAAAACACACACAAGAAGATGGGCGTACTCAGTGAGTTTAGGTTGATCTAAAATAAACAAGATCATTTATTTATTTACAGAATCAAATAAATCACTAATGTACAGCTTATTGTGAGATTAATTTCCTATAAAAAGTTTAACAACAAACTTTAGGTTTAGATGTTAATAAAACATTTGTTTGTGGCACTTTTTTTAAGTTTTGGCAGGGCAGGTTTAAGGGAAAAGAAAGATGTAAGAAGAGGATTAGTTAGTTTTAAYTTTAACCTTTAAAGAATGTGGATTTTAACCAGAAAGGGCAGACGTCTCTCAACGAATTCAGCCAAAGCTCAGATACGCTCAGCAACAAACAGCCATTACCTTGACCTGGGTTAGGTTCACCCACCACGGCTCAAGTCAGAGGAAAGATCGTCCAATTAGTGAAGAACCTCATCCAGTCGGACACTTTCGAGGTGTGTTTTTGTTACTCCTTCAGCGTCTTCTGGGCTGCTTTCAATCGAAGATCAGAGACGAGGCGCTTCTATGTATCCATTTCAAAAATAGAAAACTTCCRCTCGGAAGTTTCAAAACAAAGGTTTCTCTGTGAGGAACTTTGGTAAGCTCAAAGTAGACGAGACTGAGTGGTGGTCTGTCCAGGCTGAGAGGTTACACTACATAGTTTTGCACCTCCGTTTTTTAAACCCGAGCTTTAATGAGAAAAAATAAGGAGTACTGAGTTTTCCGGACTATAAAGCCCTATTCTGATGGGATTAGTTTTACCTAGGGACCCCATGCTATTTGTAATAATTACAGACATTGTCTGTATCGTTAATCCCGTGAGAATCGGCCATGTCAGTAATTTGTAAAGTAAAAATTCCCCCGCAAATTACCTACTGTATTTCACTGAACTTTGAGGTCCTGTGATAATCCTAATCCAATGCGAATAAGGCATCGCTGTGATTTGGACAGGATTGGGCTGAATCCCATATGTAATTGGGCGGTTTTGGTTTCCTTRGTGCATTTTTATTTATTTTTGATGAAGAATGGAGGCTGGATTGGAGTGCACTGAAAACCTTTTGGGTCCCGGGCCGGAAAAACCCGACATATTACGTGCGGCATAAAAAATAAATAAATAAAATAAAATAAGCTGAAAAGAGGGAGCAAAATCAGATGCAAATGGTGGCTCACTGTACGGTAAGAATAATTAGTTTTTCTGTTTKTAGCCTTCTGACTGATACCGAGTGTTGAGGCTCGCGCTTTGGGTAGCTACTCCCACTGGGCGCGCATACTCTCACCAGCTGTSAWGGTGTTCATGTGTGTCAACCCCTTTGGACGTTTACCTGTATAATGAGCCTCAAAAATCAATATTTTTTGCTAAAAGTCCGTACCACTCATACCCGCGCRTGGGGGTGGGGTGGGGGTCTGTCGGCCRTGGAGATGACAGGGCTTGTTGTAAGGCAGGAGGAAAGGASAGCGGAAAATTTGGATAACTTGATGTTYGTTTTTTTTTAAACGTCYGTTCAATGCCGTGTTCAACTAACTAGACAACAACTAACAAGACTTCAATATCACATTTGGGAGATGTCTGTAAATTTCAGGAAAATCTCAGGCTTTGGTTATCCCGTGCGAATGCGCCACATAAAACACACGACGTCGGGGAGTAATTTATTTATTACATGGGGTGCCCCCAGATAATTCTTGTTCCGTGCGAATAAGTCACATCGTTTGGATGATCCTGGGACTTATAGTCAGGTGAGACTTATACATGTTTTCTTCCTCTTCCTAATGCACGTTTTGACTCAACTTAKAGTATAGAAAGTACATAAAAATCTACCTGTAAGATCTGGTCTCCCTCCTTCATTCCCTGTTCATATGCCGGGCTGTTTGGCTGAACTCCACCCACAAAGATACCCACATCGTTGCCTCCCACAAGTCTCAGACCCAAACTCTGCTGTTTAAGAAACTTCACAGCCTGCACAGATGAGCTGTACCTGAGAACAGAGAGGAAGATATCAAAGAATCAGATTACTGTAACAAAAAGTGTTTATGAAGAGATGGATCAGCTTTGAAAAATACAACATTTCTCACTCTGGATTAGATGATGGGATAGAGTCTGGAGGTAGGAAATAGAGGGGCTCTTCCAAAGGCTTGGCTGCAAGAGAAATRTACATGATGAGCCTCTTAACTGATGCAATTATTGTTCATGTCATGCAGAAAATAATATTTCACAAAAATAGTTAACTAGATATTAATGAGATACCATAAAGGTGTGCAGTAAATCAGACAAACGGATAGAAAAAACATGCATTTAGCTTTAGTGTTGGGAAAAAACAGTCTTGTTTGTTTTGAGTCTTACATTGGAGTAATGGGTTGTTCTTCACTGAAATCCCAGATGGCACAGTATGRCTTTCATTGGCAGTACGACGAGCACTGTCAGGTAGAGAAGATATCATTTGTAAATATTTAAGTCAATCTGAACTGTTAGAAGGTGAAGCTATATGATGGAGGAATTCGAAAAATCACATTGATGGGTGAATTATTCATAAAGATAGTGACATTTTTAGAGAAGATGTAAGACGTGTGGTTTCAACAGAAACCTGCAGTGGTGGGCACAGCTAAACAAAAAAATAGCTTCACAAACCATTAAACAAGAATCTTAGCTGTGCTAAACTGCTGAACAGATTACAAACTTAGTGGATGCTTACGCTAATCACTAAAACAAATGTCACTCAGTCTGTGTCACACACATCTTCTCCTTCCAGTTGATCATGGTGGGACTGACACAAATACTTTCTCTGTATTTTATATTTAGCCAGTTTTTGTAGTTATTTAAATATTGTTAAATTATATTTTATTTAGTTTTGATGCTCTTGGTTTAAAGTTTTGCTGCTAAAGATGCTACATGCTACACACGCTGTGCCTGACACGTCCAGGACTGCTTGCAAGAGGGGATAGTTTTCATTTAATTCAGGACAAACGGCATAAAAATAAAAGTTTTACACTAGTGAATTTTTAATGGACTTCAAATCACCAGGGGTCAGATTTATAAAGGATTGTGTGGAAACCATACTAAAAGTGAACGTACGGCCAAAAGGTGGAAATGGCGTATGCCAAAAAAAATTAAAATTCAGATTAATAAAACCGTGCGTACGCACGTTTCTGCGCACCTTTCATTTGTAAATCACAGCCGCA